TATTTTAAATATTAAATTATATTTTTATTTTTATATTTTTATTGATCTTCAATTTTGATCTTTTTATTTTAAAATAGAAATATTAATCATCCTATTTTATAAAATATAAATTTTGTTTCTATCATCAATTTGATTTTTGTTGATCATAACTTAATGATCTGTCACTATTTAATGTGATGTTTAGTAACATGATGGTAACAATTAAAAATAATATACAAAAAATATTTATTTATATCTATTTTATAAATAATTTCTATTTATTTTGTTAATAAATCTTACTTATATACCTTTTTTTTTTAAAAATTATTTCTAAATATCATATCAGTTAAGTATGAACAAATATTAAAATATACCTACTAATAAATGTTAATTTGACGAAAAATTTTATATTTTTAAAATTAAAAAAAAATATCTTTACTTTAAAATAAAAAGATCAAAATTTTAAAAGAACAAAAATAAGAAACTAAAAATATAATTTAATTTATTTTAAAAGTCATACAAATGAGTTTTATTTTATATAAATTAAACATGATTAATTTCTAAAAAATTTGAACAGTGAGACTCGTAATTTAAGAAAATTAGAATGATGATAAAAAAAGTATTAAAGAAAAGATGAAATGCATAGTTGTGGACGGACAGTGTGACGTTACTAATTTGGGCATATTGAGATGGTACGATAGAATGAGAATCCCCGTGGGAGAGAGTAGAGAGAGTGTGTGGACTCTGGAAGGGTAATTTGGGCATATAAAAGTTTAAGAGCATAGAAACTTAGAAAGGAGAAGGAAGAAGAAGAAAGAGTGAGTGGCATGGGGGAGGAAGAGGAAGAGGAAGAATGCATATCTGCTTCCAACACATTCCTCAATGCTCTATAATCATTATCCAATCAACAATGCTCTTCCTCTTCCTCTTCCTTCTAATTCTCCCCATTTCCTCCACCATCATCCTCCAAGCCAACACCACTCTGCAAAGCCCCAACAACACCTTCCAATTGGGCCTCTTCACCTTCTCCCCATCCCCATCCCCAGGCCCATCCAACTACTACCTCGCCATCCGCCACACTTCCCTCCCCACCCCAAACACAATCTGGGTCGCCAACCGCCGCACCCCCGCCCCGACCCAATCCCTCTCCTCCCTCCATCTCACCGCCACCGGCCAACTCCTCCTAACCCACAACAACACCACCCTATGGTCCACCCCCAATCACACCCCGCCTCTCACCCTCAAGCTTCTGGACTCCGGGAACCTACTCCTCCTCACCGCCGACGGCGTCGTTTCATGGCAGAGCTTCGACTCCCCCACCGATACCTGGCTCCCCGGCATCAACCTCACACGCTTCAACTCCCTCACCTCCTGGCGCACCCCAAACGACCCCTCCCCAGGCCCCTACTCCCTCCGCCTCAAACCACCCACCTACGGTCAGTTCGAGCTTCTCTTCAACGACACCGTTTCATACTGGTCCACCGGAAACTGGACCAACGGCCGGTTCCTCAACGTCCCAGAAATGACCATCCCCTACCTCTACTCCTTCCACTTCGCCTACCCCTTCTCCCCCCAAGCCTCCTTCGGCTTCTCCGAGCAGCTCTCCGACGCCGGCCTCCGCCCCCCCACCATGTTCCGCCTCGAGCCCTTCGGCCAAATCCGCCAGTACACGTGGAACGACCAGACTGGGTCCTGGAACATGTTCTGGGCCCGACCCGACCCGCTCTGCCAGGTTCGGGGGCTCTGCGGGAGGTTTGGGCTCTGCATTGGGCAACCCTCCAGGCTCTGTGACTGCCTCCCCGGGTTTCAGCCTCGGGATAACGGAAGCTGGGCTTCCGGTGATTACACGAGTGGCTGTTACCGTGCGGACGCCGAGTGTGGGAAAAAGGATGGCTTTCGAGATCTGGGTGTTGTGGGGTTTGGATATGGGAATGTGAGTTTGGTTAAGGGGAAATCTAGACGCTTTTGCGAGCGGGAGTGTTTGGGCTCTTGTGGCTGTGTTGGCTTGGCTTTTGATCGAGTGAGTGGGATTTGTAAGAATTTTTATGGGTGGCTGTCGGATTTTCAGAATTTGAGTTCTTCTTCGGGGGAGCTTTTGTACGTTAGGGTTCCTGGGTCTCGGAGGGGGTTGGATAGGAGGGTGTTGAGTGGGGTTGTGGTTGGGTCGGTTGCGGTTTTGGGGGTGGTGGTGGTGACGTTGTTGGTGTTTGTGAAGAGGTGTGGGAAGAGGGGGGTGGAGGAGGAGGAAGATGGGTTTGTGCCTGTGTTGAATTTGAAGGTGTTTTCTTACAAGGAGCTTCAGTTGGCCACTCGCGGGTTCTCGGAGAAAGTTGGGCATGGAGGGTTTGGGACGGTGTTTCAAGGGGAGTTGAGCGACTCTTCGGTTGTGGCGGTGAAGAGGTTGGAGAGGCCGGGGGGTGGGGAGAAGGAGTTCAGGGCTGAGGTGTCCACCATTGGGAATATTCAGCATGTGAATCTTGTGAGGCTCAGAGGGTTTTGCTCTGAGAATTCTCATAGGCTTTTGGTTTATGAGTTCATGCAGAATGGGGCTCTTAGTGTTTATTTGAGGAAAGAGGGGCCTAGTTTGAGTTGGGAGGTTAGGTTTAGGGTGGCAGTTGGGACGGCTAAGGGGATTGCTTATTTACATGAGGAGTGTAGGTGTTGCATCATACACTGTGATATCAAGCCTGAGAACATCCTTTTGGATGCTGATTTTACTGCCAAGGTTTCAGATTTCGGGTTGGCCAAGCTCATTGGGAGGGACTTCAGTAGGGTGTTGGCCACCATGAGGGGTACGTGGGGGTATGTTGCGCCAGAGTGGATTTCCGGTGTGGCAATTACCACAAAGGCGGATGTTTACAGCTATGGAATGACACTGCTGGAGCTGATTGGCGGTCGGCGGAATGTGGAGGCGCCACCGTCTGCCGGAGGGGGAGAGAGTGGTGGTGAGACGGGAGGGAAGTGGTTCTTCCCACCATGGGCGGCACAACGCATAATCGAGGGCAATGTAGGTGAAGTGGTTGATAATAGGCTTGGGGATGTATATAACATGGAGGAGGTTAGGAGGGTTGCTTTGGTGGCGGTGTGGTGCATTCAAGATGACGAGGCAATGAGGCCTACTATGGGTATGGTGGTGAAGATGTTGGAGGGGTTGGTGGAGGTGAGTGTTCCTCCACCGCCCAAGTTGCTTCAAGCGCTGGTTACTGGGGATTCCTTTCATGGGGTCAAGGCTGATTCTGGCAATGGGGTGTCTACTGGTGGCAGCTTATCTGATGGCAACTTGGAAGTGTCAACTGCTGATTCTGAATCATATACAGGGAATGTTTTTTCCCCCTTGGATGAGAATGTCAATGTCAGTGTTCGATAACAAAGTTCTGGTATTGTCCAGAATATTATAGAATTGTAATTTAGTACCCCATTCTCTCCCTTTTTTTCTCTCCAAGGAGAGGGATGAGGAAAGACAGGAACATTTGATGTGGATGTAAATTACTTGCCTTTAGGATGTTGGAACTTGGAAGAGTGGTTTGCCGAGCATCTAATTTCAAGTTTTATTCTTTCAAGTCTGTATGTGTATATATATTCTGCATTTGATCACTTTTAAGAAGAGAGTAGAATGTAGCAGTATCAAAACGAATTTATGTTTAACATGTAATGTAATTAAGACAAAAGCAATCAATGGTAATGATTCAATTTTGATCCCATCTAACTGGTGAGAAAAAGAAGTATATGAACATACAATTGTAGAGGTTATTTCAGAAGATCGCTTTGCATATTTAAGTTGTTTTCACCTGAAAGTTATTACTTAAGTTGCGTGCTGTAGCATAGAATTTTGCAATAACAAGCTTGACTTGTTACAAGCTGTGCTATAAGTTACACGCTGTTGCAAATTTATGGTATTGGAACCGATAGCAACTACGGTTTCTCAGCGCCTTGAATTGTCATCATGTCATGTCCATCCGAATTATCAAATGCATGTTTTTTGTGATTGATTTGATTTGTATTAATCGGTTGGCATTTTGAGCGATCCCCATTTGGTGTCTAAGACTCAGAGAATGTAATCATTATTGGGAACTCAACTGCCTATAGGCATTTTTTTTTGGCAGACTATGCTTGTAATTATCCAGCACTTTGGTATTTGTTATTTTAGTTACATGTTTGTGGCCTAGGGAGTTTGTCTTTTGTTGAAGTTTGTATGCTAATTGTGTAGTGATATGTAATATTTAATTGGGATGATCATGAATCAGGTTGAAAAATGAGCAAGGGGCTTTGAGTTAAGGCATTTGTAACTTTTTTCAACTCTACTGTAATCTGTATAATCTGTAATATGACTACATTAAATTTGTTGTTATGTTATTTAATCCTCAAATTGGAGGGCTTGGCTGTTACAATTGTGTAATTGATTGTTGCACTTTGTGTTTTTTTGCATTACCAGTGATTTCATGGGATATAAGTTTGTTTCTAATGTGAAATATATTTTTGTGCTCTTTTTTGACTTGTGGTAGCAGAATGGATGCATAAAGTCTGGTGGCCTCTGATCCATTTTGATCCCAATTATTCAGCTGGGAAATGGGAGGTTGCTGCTGATCTGCCAGGAAACTTCACCTGCATGGGACGCCAGTGTATTACTATGTTAGTAATTTTCTATCCTCTTACCTGGTTTGTAGCTTATGAGCATAGATAGTTGCTTATGAACACCAATGTAATAATGTCTCTATTATTTCATGTCATGAACCCTTTAAACATTCTGAATAAAATAGATTAATGAAGAAAAATAAGTGCATGTATTGCTTCTAAGTGATACTTCTCATCTCATCAATATTATTTTATTCTCCTTTAGTTCTCGTGTCTGTTCATTAATGAGCCCCTTATGACTTGAGACAACGAAAGTTAAAATGGCCTGTTTTTAAGAAACCAAAGAGAAATAATGAAAGATCTCCAAACTCGGTATAATTTCTTCTCTTACTGTTTTTGTTAGTAAGTTTCATCCATGAAAACTTGCATATATTTTGTTGATGTATCAATTGTAAAACACTTGGATGGTCCCTGGATCAAATAATAAAATGCAGGTCGGCCAATACTCCTCTTACTTGTTCTCCATCTTTTATGCAAATATATTGCGAGTTACTTAAAACAGAAGTAGTAGCTATCAGTCACTCACAAAGTCTTTAGATGTAATGTCTAAATTGTCAAACGCAGTTTTTTTTGTGATTGATTTGATTTTTATTAATCGGTAGGCAATGTATGGGATCACTAGAGATTCAGAGAATGTTCTCATAATTAGGAACTCAATTGCCTATAGCCATTCCTTTTTTTTGCAGACTATGCCTGTATTATCCAGCACTTTGGTATTAGTTTTATTGAAATTAACTTTCGTTTCTTTATCACATTTTGTGAATTAATAGCTCTTCACCCACTGCTGGACAGCTACTGGCTTTGAAAGGATTACATTTTGATATTCTAGAAGAATTTGACTTCAACGTTCAAGATTAAACTATTTTGTATTATGTGTCTTTCTACGCTAGCTTCCTTTTATGGTCAACAAGAAAATTGTCCTGAGATAGAATAAGCACCCTCCTTTTCATTTTTATAGGAAAATCACAGCAGGCATATTTCCTGTTCTGAGAGAAGAAAGAAATGCAATTCTAGCTAGATTTGGAATACACGTTATTGCTGATTGAAGGTATCTAGTTGGTGACAGCTGACAATGAAAGAAAATCTTTCTAAAGTTGTTTACCAGATACTTAACTGAATAATTCTTTGTTTTTTTTCCTTTGATGTTACAGAGTATGATTTGACCAGCCAGTTACTTAGTTACCTCGTTTTATAATTAATATTTTTCTAAATGGGTGGCTGATGAGAGGAGTTCATTGTTTTATAACCGGTTATTTTGATGGTAACTACAGTCCTTTTTTTCTCTAAGTATTTTATAATCATTTTTGGTTTACCTTGCATTTACATTTTACAGTTATTGCTTTGGTGGATCCATCTTTGGAAATTTGCGAGGAAAATGAGGTTTTGACTGGATGCTAAAACATGATGCTTCTCCCATTGACTGCAAAATTTTGTTCAGTTGTGGCCTATTCTGTGTAGTTTTTGTTTTTATTTTTATTTTTATTTTTATACAAATTTCTCAATCTTTTTCTGTTTATGTTCTTTTTTGGAAACATAAAATGGTTACCATCTTGTAAATCACACGTGAAGTTAAATTTTCAGTGCAAGTATGGATTATTTTCTAACAAAATCCTGCCGGTATTCTTAGACCATAAAAATCAAAGATAATGCTTATAACAAAAGATAATAATTATTGTTAAAATGTACACGTGGGAAAGGGAAAGGATGAATTAAGGGTTTTGTTAATGAAGATTTCAACGACAATTGTTGAAGAATTAATTAGAAAATAAAATAAAAAAATTAATTAATATTTTCATTTATGATTCCATATAAATTAACTCAGCAAGAATTCAAAAAATAAAATAATAAAAAAAACTTGAAACCCTTTCTTAAATTTAGTTTCAAATAAATTTAGTTTGTGGTACTGGTCTCTATTCTTTTGGATTTTTTGGTCAAACACCTAAAACCCAAAAGAGAAGGCCTGCAGCTTACAATGGTGGGCTAGGGTAGGAAACGGGTTAAGTAGACCAACATTAAACATGGTTCATTGAATGCAGATTCAAGGACTAATTTGTAATTTTGTTTATTTTAATTCTTTCAGGATTAACTAGTAAGCACATCACACTTTCAGGAGACAAAATAGTAATTCACTCAAATTAATAAATTAGTTAAATAAACTACAAATTAATTGAAATGTCTTATCGAATGTATTCTGAGCCTGTTACTTTTTATTTTTGGAGACTTATGATCAAATTATTTAAGTTTTTTTTAAAAAAAAAATTTGATATAATTTTTCGAATTTTTGAAAATCTTTTTTTTTGTTTTGAAAAGTATTATTATAACTTGGTTGTTAAAGATGTCATGACAGTTTTAAAACAAAATAAAAAATAAAAATAAACCTTCAAAGGCACCGATATGGAGAGGCGTGTATTGCTTCTGGATATCTAAAATATGCATGCTTCTAAAGTGAAGTAATAAGAAAAAGGAAGGAAAAAATAACAAGGTAAGTCCGGCATAAGTCAGCTATCAGTTGAGATATATTCTTGGAAAAAAAAAACAAAGAATGTTTTAGATTATCACAAACATCTTTGTTGACCATGTTGGATGTTTATTGTTGTTACATATTAGATTTTTTCACTTTCAAGGATAATTTTTAACTAATTTATTTTTAGTTTAATCGGATATTTTGTTATCTAAATTTCATGATTTCACAAATGTTGTTACTCAATTTTTGAATTTACATATTTCTTACATAACTGTTAAAATTTTTATACATTTTGTCACGTAGTTAACCATTTAGCGTTATTAGTTGATTGTTGACTTCACATGTTGACTATTAACATAGAATGATAACATGATGTACATATAATGACAAGACTAGACTTGATTATCGATCAATTATGGATGGTTTCGAGTGAAAAAATTCAAAATTGATACAATCTGATCAACTCAAAGCTAAAATCATTTTTGTTTGTTTATGTTCTTGGGGTGAGTCGGGTGTAGGTTGGTCGGGTATCGAATCAAACAAGTGTGTACATGTGGATTTGTATTCAAAGCACTAACAAAGAAGTGTTTAAAATATCAAGCGTCAAAGATTATGAATGACAACATAAAAAATGGGAAAAAAAGTATCATTTATTTTTAAGTTTACAATAGAATAGGATGGAAGTCTTTGGGAGAGAAGATACAATGGCTCCCAAATCTGTGTGGTCGTGTGGGTTTGCTTGTTGATGTTGATATCGTTGTTGTGGCCATTGATAGGTTGGGAATTTAAAAGGGAAGAGTCATGGATGTGTGAAAGAAGGTAGTGGGATAGTGATACATCAATGAAGATGAAAATATTTGGTGTCTTTGTGAAAAGGGGAAAGAAAACAAGAGCGACAACACTTATGAAAGATAGAAGTGAAAATATTTTGTGTTGCAAAAAGAAGAGAAAGAAATGTACAACATTTGTGAGATAAAGAGCAAATGTATAACACCTGTGTGTGTGTGAGAGAGAGAGAGCAAATGTTGATTGCGAAAGTTTTTTTTTTAAAATATTCACCCACATTCAAACCCCCATGTATGTGTTTCTTTTAACCTTCAATAATTAAATCTCACTAACAATCCAAAACCAACCATGCTTAAATATTTCCCAATGTTAATGGATCCTTAAAAGCCACCTATATAAGAAGGGGGTGATGTGGATGCAAGCAACTCCCCTCATCACCAAACCCTAATAAATCTCCATTTTTCATTTTTATCAAAAAGTGTCTCCTAAATTCTCCCCATACAAATTAAAGGAAAAAATACAAGAGAGAGAAAGAGAGGGAGAAAGAAAAGCACTATTGGACACAAGGTCCAAGAAGTCACAACACAATTACACACCATAAGGGTCCATTGAAATCCTTTCTTGAGAAATTAGTATCTCTCTCTCTCCCTCTCTCTCTCTTTTTCTCTTCTATTTTTCACTTCTAATGAAAATTAAGATGAAAAAGAGGCTCTAAGTCTGTTGAAAATTTGAAATTTAGCCAATCACCCATACACACACACACACACTTTCTCTATTTATTTATCTTTCTCTTCCCTCCTCTACAATT